CACAGGTCCAACAACTGACATTAATAATAGACGACGGACTTAAAAGTAAAGTAATACCTTTCTATACTATCTGTTCTCCATTTTTAAGTTTTGCAGATTTGGCCACAACGATGTGCAATATAGCTAAATTCCTCCTACTCAAATACATTGCTTACTGAAAGAAATACAATTATTTGAATAATAAACTTGGATATTTGTAATCTCTTATACTATTAGCCATACAAATAAATGGTTATATATAATTTGATGGTTATAATGTTTGTTATGTACTAAACTTTTTCAAATGTTTACATTTTGCCTTCTAGTGGAGTTGGAAGCAATCTCAACATTCTTGACATTTATAACCCTCTTTCATTGGAGAGATTGCTTTTCTATTGTTTACTAAAATTCTCACCCCCTTTAGATACTCATCAGTATTTTGCTTCCATGGGATATACTGGGATATGTTAGAAGAACTTGTTTGATACCATGATCTCGAGTGCTTTGTCAGCAGTCTCTAAGGATAAAGGGCATGTTGAAGAGCAAGCGACCGGTCTCCCCAGTTAGCAGTAGGATTAAGCCTTTTATCTTGCATAAATCCCAATGATTAAGAAATTCAAAATCAACATGAAAGGATATTTTTTCACACAATGTGTAATGAAACAATGGGCTTCACTGAAATGGTCTGGTGGTCATTAAAGCAACATGAAAAGATATTTTTTCACACAATGCGTAATGAAACAATGGTCTTCACTGAAATGGTCCGGTGGTCATTAACAGGGATATTCAGTAATGGCTTGGAACTGAGATAGAAAAAAGAGTATCTAATCATAATAGTGATAAATATTTCATATTAGACATGAAATCTCATATTCCAGTGTTTAAAGCAAGGCCCTGTTCAGACAGGGTTACACATGAGCCCTCTCATTTAAAAGAGATGATGCCATATATACGTCATTCTAGCTTCTAGTCTTTTTCTCTGATGGAAGTTCTTGGAGCAGAGTAAAAATGCTATCCAATATGGTCAGTCTTACAGGTAATATCAACACAGACAAGGGAGAACAACTCCAAGGGGCTTGTCACGTATTGCAGGCTGCCTGAAAAGGGTTGATGGAGAAGCACATGTACGGAGAAGATGTGAAGCACTGGTAAAAGGGAAAGGATTGATGCAGAGGCAAATGAAAGGTGGCAACGATGGACATACGGAGGAAGAAATGCTGCAGAAGTAGAGCAAGAAGATTCACCTGGGTGATGGGAGCATCCGGAGAAGGAATGTGAGGTAGTGACTTTGGCAAGGAAAACATTAGAAAGAATACTTTATAAAACCTGACAAGGAAAATACGTACATATGAAGGACGGTGATTTCAATTGCTAAACAAAATGTCATGAAGGTATGAGCGAGAGTGTGGAAAAAAAGACGTTGGACAAGAATTATTAAAAAAAAGAGATGCTGAGAGAGGTTGGATGTGCAGTTCAAAGCGGGTTGGAAAGACACAGGAACCGGTAATACCTGCAGGTCTCTCTATTAATTCTATCTTTCCAGGCCATCTGCTGGGGTAGAGTTTGAGGATTTCAGACATTTGTTCAGTATTTCTCAATGCTGGGATGGCAATACGAAAATCCCAGTGGAAGAAAAGAAAAACGTTTGAGGGGAAGGGTGAAGACTTTTGTTTCAGCCACGACTGTGACAGCACCGAGGGAGAGGCCCAATTCGGCACTCCCCGATGCGCCCAGTGCCCGGCACCCCGTTATCAGCAGCGCCGACGAGAGGGGGAAAGCACCCGCTGACCCGGCCCAGGCACACAGACGCAGAGCCACCCCGAGCCCTGAAGGAACCGCCGCCCTC